TTGTTTTCTGCTTTCCACTTTTTTTTTTAGGTTCCTTTGGTAATCTACATCTTCAAATTCTTTTCTGAATTTCTCCGTGATCTCTTTCTATCCATGATCATCGTTCTCTTGTTTATATTGTTGGAACCACAGGTTGGCTGCTCCGTCCAGGAAAGTTTCAAAATATGCAATTTTTAACTCATCGTCCCATCCGTTCGTTATAGCCGTTCTTTCATAGGTCCTTAAAAATTCTGTGGCCCTGGATTTGCATGGGTGGAAGGTTGGGGGATGGATGAACTCTGGTACCTTCGCCTTTTTTGCCGTTTACATTGCATCACTAATTGTTATATTGGCCATTGTTCGCGTTGGTGTGGTAGATCTCGGTCTTTCAGGGCTAGTTTCTCGCACAGGGCTTGTTTCCCGTTCTTGATTTGCAACTTCTGGCGGTTGGTTGACTAGCGGCTAGGGTAAGGTCTAATAGGGAACCTCCTCCGCTTATACTAGTTAAAGTTTCAAGACAAAAAGGTGTCCTCTGTGTTGCTTGGACGATTTATTTCCTGATATCCGTGCTTCTGTGTTTTGGCCTGAACGGTGATGCCCATGTGCTTAATGATCTTAGATTATTCTTAGGCTCATCTCCGGACATTCGTAATAATAAAAAATGCTAATATTTTTTTAGGTGCTGTAGGATTCTTTCATCAGTGCCTTTGCAAAAAAAAAAAATGTTTAATTAAAAACGCCTTTGCCACTATATCAGGAATCTTCCATTCCTCGCGGTTTATGATTTTTGCTTAGTGACCTAGTTTTATAAACAATTCGTCGTCAGCATATCCATGTCTCCTTCTAATTATCTGGGTCACTAAAATTTGTTTATAATTATATGTATATTTTATTTTGAGCCCTGTTTTTTTTTTCATATGGTGACGCCAAGATTCTGCGTTATCTCTTCTGTCCTGCTGTTCTGGGTCCTGGGTGCCTGGGTGTCGAAGCGGCGCCTCCACCAAATATGTCACAACCCCTATACGTTTCGTCCTGGGACGTCACAACAGGAGCGTGACTTGGGGGCGTAGGTGGGGTTCAGGTAGAGAGAAACTCGCCTGGTATAGGTAGGTATAATAAGATGTGTATTGATTAATAATAGTTATTATCCTAGAAATGGTATCATGATGTCTCTTCTACGGAGGGACGTACTACTTAAGGTCCACTCTGTATTAATTATGTCCCCTTTGTACACTTGGCGTGACTGAAGACTGAAACTAGGTTTTAGACAGGCCCAGAAGGGCGTTTCCCATTAAAGGTAGTTTGCACTGGACCTAGTCTGCTGCGTTCGATACTCCCAGAGGGGCGTTTCCCATTAAAGGTAGTTTGCACTGGGAGGAGACTTAGCTAGAAGGGCTTTTCCCATTAGAGGTACTTCGCACTAGCCTTAGTCTGTCGGTAAGGAATTTCGGCGCTGTATTTATACCAAATAAATGCTGACTCGTCGACACACTTTAGTAAAATTGATGTACAGAGTGGTATTTACTTAAGTAGTTGACAATATCTTAAAAAAGTTTCCCTATTAGACTTTGAGTGTTACACCATTAGGCTTTTATTTTTCCAATCTATGACGCTGGCATTATGACACATTCATCCCATTTTGACGTTCAATAATGACATTTTTCGACGCAGAACAACAAAGGTAAGTAGGCGTTTATCGCCTCACTGATTCAAATAGCTATTTTCATTTACGTCCGATTGTTCTATAAAGGGCTTTTATTATACAGCGACGATGAAGTAGAACTTTATCGTACAAGTAAAATAAAGTAACTTCAGCGAAGATGAAGTGGTTCTTTAGTAGTCAGATGTGACGCGATCTTGACAAAGTCAAGACACCCTGATAAACATGGTTTTAGAAAAATAAATACTATTTGAGAGCAATCGGACATAAAATCTTGTCGCGTACTTTATAGCCTCTTTAAAGCCTTCCTCCCAATCTCGCTCAGCCATGAAAAAAAAAAAAAAACTCGCTAACTATGCTGTTGAGTGTGTAGCTTTATTATTTTCAAATAAATTTGCCTTAAATTATCTTATAATACATAGATTTTAGTTCATTTGTTTTATTTCAATTAATTATAGACCGGTTTGTGAATGAGATTGTATCTTGCACAATAAAGCTTTTACTTCGATTACGATTTTAAAATTCACAAAACAAATTCTGGTACATTTTATAAAGCATTTTCAGGCCTACACTATGTTTTGAAAGCATTCAAAATGGACTACTATATTTTTTTAAATTCGATATTCTTGTGTGAGGATCAATTATCTACGTCAAAAATGTTATTCGTCGTTTCAATCAAGCAAATAAAACGCGTCATATTTTCCCAATAAATACGAAATGACGAATCCAGTTCAGGTCCTTTCGTAAATTCGCGATTTTGAAATAAAGACTGATAGTACGGGATACGAGGCCTATTTCATCAAATCATTTTACACCGTCTTGCATTGTTATCATCAGTTAGATAAAATGGTACTGAAACGCACTTGTGCAGGGAAATAGATGGGAGTGGGGGATTTCGCTGAAAAAAATGTTTCAGAAAATGTCGTCATAAATTAGGAAAATATATAATTATACACCGTCTTGCATTTCTTTATTGAGTCAGTTTGTACACAAACAAAATTGAATTACCACATGCAAGACGTTTTTATGGGGGTTTTAGGGTTGCAATAGAAGATGGAAATTGTCAATTTGTGAGAGGGGTGGAAAATCATTTTACACCACTCCATTGTTGATTTAGATTAAAGCTTGAATGTAGAATAGCTACTGGATACTGATACAAGACGTCCTGTGGAGGGATAACGGGCTGCAAGACGGATGTCAATGCGTTGTCTCATGAGGGAGTGAAAATTTATTTTACACCACTTCATGCTTATGTCCACCGGAAGAATATATGTTAAAAAATGGTAATACATCAGTCCAAGACGTTTTTTCGGGGAAAAAAGTTAATAAATCCGTTTTCTTTTTTTACTGAACTTTTGAGTTATTTACTGAACCGTTCACTGTTCATTCTTTTCTAAATCATACAGATGGAAAAGGACAGTTGACATAGCAGCTCAACAGGGGAGTCTGCTGAATACAGGAATTATAATTTCTGTTTACAATTCCAGGCAGATCATTTTTTTGCTGCTTTAAAATCAAATTTCTCAAATTTACCTAATACCTACTTACAATCCGTTAGGTGTTATGACATATCCACCTCAAAAAAATAAATAAAATGATTATAAGCTGTCAGAAAAAGAACAATTTTCAACCTTTTTTTTTTGATGTCCGTAGAGTCATTCAAATATACATATTAAGAGAATTTTGCAAAATAGAATTATTCTACGTGGTAAAAGCAAAAATATCTAAAATTATTGTGCGTAATTTGTAATTTGGAGTAGTATTCACATTTGTACCTGATGGATTTACCCCCGTCAAAATTAGTCAACTTCATCACCGTCTTGCAGTCCTTTCTTTCCATTTAGAACGTCTTGTATTTTTTAAAATGTTATCAATGTGTTCTGTTTTTCCCATTAGTATCAGTGCAAGACGGTGTAAAATGATTTCTCACTCCTTCATAAGACAACACATTGACCTCCGTCTTGCAGTCCGTTATCCCTCCACAGGACGTCTTGCATCAGTATCCAGTGGCTATTCTACATTCAAGCTTTAATCTAAATCAATAATGAAGTGGTGTGAAATGATATTTCACCCCTCTGAAAAATTGACAATTTCTATCCAATATAACAACCCCAAAACCTCCATGAAAACGTCTTGCATGTGTTGATCCAATTTTGTTTGTGTACAAATTAACTCAATAAATAAATGCAAGACGGTGTATAATTATATATTTTCCCTGTTTATGACGACATTTTCTGGAAATTTTTTTTCAGCGAAATCCCCCACTCCCATCTATTTCCCCGTACAGGTGCGTTTCAGCATCATGTTATCTAACTGATGATAACAATGCAAGACGGTGTAAAATGATTTGATGAAATAGGCCTCGTATCCCGTACTATGATATATTTCTGCTATAGATATGATTTACGTCGTACACAAAGGTTGTCAGTTATGAACGGCTTTATTCCCATCGTGTTTTAGCTCTAAGCTTTAGCCAGTTCAAAACGATCATTTATCTTTTTGCTCTATAATTAAAATATCAGACAGGTCAATACCATTTATTTAGTTAGACAGTATATTTATTGGGGCTAGGTCAAATAAAACGAAATATTTCCTATCTGGACATTTCTCCTTGTCAGAATCAGGGTGTGTATTATACCTATTATGTAAAAAACGTAGGGTTTATTAGAAACTTTATTTTATAGCGTTTATTCTTTGCTGACACTCATCATCAACTGGTATTACACTCGATCCAACGAACCAGTATGACAGAGTCAGATTGGCGGCCAGGTTTACACTGAACACTGATTTATGCCATTTATTTATTTCAAAATCTTAAAAAACGTTACTCTAGAGTGTACAGCGGGCTGATAAATGACCAATAGCAACGAACTTTTTGAAGGTTTTGTTGTTTGTCACTCCGTAGATTGACTGGGCAAACATAGGTATATTAATACCTATCAGTAGCGTAACTTGCCATCAGGGGGCCTCCGTGCAAAATTGGATTGGCACGCCGAAGTTTTTTGTGGGTGCCACGCCCAAAAACGTTAAAGCTACATTCGAAATCAATTCGCTGGCCGAGTGGCACTTCGACGTTAAAGTCGGCACGAAATTTACCATTCACAACAAATTTCAAGTCGAATTTAGAGCATGCGTGTTTAATCGTCTCCAGTCATTTTTTAGGTTAGTTGTTTGTTTTGATTTTGGTGCTTCAATTTAGAATTATTTATTTTTATTTATGTTAGCGACAAAATTCCCCTTCACTCCTGTGCCTCACGTTCAGGTTCGGTACCCACGATATCGACACGTGTGCTGAGCAAGCAGTGACGTATTATTTTGGGATCAAAGAGCCGAAATCGGGGACAGCGGAATAGTTATAAAAATGGAAACAAAAACGTCGTATAGTGATGAATTTTTTCTACAATGTGTCTCAAACTACAGGCCTTTATATGACAAAGCCGATAAGCGTTACAAGTCACTGCTACAAAAAGAAAATTGTTGGGCTTCAGTAGCCAAATCCTTATCTTGCACAGGTATGTTGCCTCGTATCCCCAAAGTTTAATATTTAATATAATCTTTTTTATATATTTAGTGTCAGAAGCAAAAGCCCGCTTCAAAAGCCTGAGAGAGAAATATCGAAGGGAATTACAGGCAATAGAAAAACTGGAGAGAAGTGGGGCTCCTGCTTCAGCCAGACCTGTGTGGCCACTAATGAGTTTTTTTAAATTCATGTATAAATGTGGAGAGGAGTCACAAATGCAAACAACTTCAAATTTTCATTTGGAAGAAGATACATCACATTCATCACAAACACAACCAACCATTTCAGAGGAAGAATTCGGAATTGAGGAAGAATATAATTTTCTCGATAATTTTCCTTCTACAAACTACACTAATAATCCACCAATACCAGCAACACCTACATCAATATCTGAACCCACACCCAAAAAAATGAAAATGAAGGCTGCATTACAACCAAAAAATATTACCGGTGAATTAAAACAAATAGATAATGTTTTAGTGGATGTATCCACAGCCATAAACAATTTAAATACAAAAAAAAATTGAAAATAATTTAGATAGATATGAACTATTTTCGAAATTTTTGGCTTCAGAACTTAGAAACATTTCTGAGCCACATGCCTCAATTTTAATGGAAGAGTTGCAGGTGGTTATAATAAACTACAAAAGAGAATTAAGAGCTCCTGAAGACCAAATACAATAGAGTAGATAATATTCCTTAAATATTTGTGCATGCTGTTGATGTTTACCAAAAAAGTTTTCGTTTAAATTTTATTTTCAAGACTAATAACCTTTTTTAATAATTTATGAAAGTAAGTGTTTTTGTTGTCGTTAATAACTTTCATAATTATAAGACTTGATTATGTAAATGATGTGTTCCTAATAATCAGGCTGTGGACTCAAATGAAAATATGTTATTTAGTTTAGATTTTTTGATAGAAAACTGTTTTATTTGAAGTTTATAAGTTTATAAAAAAAAAAGACAATAAAATAATAATGTATTCAGTAAGTATAATAGTTTTTTTTTTTATTTCAAATTGGATAGTCTTCCTTTCTTACCTAATAATATATAAAAATAATAAAAAAATACATAAAAATCCAAGTATGTAGTGGGTAAGGTACCTATATCAAAAAAATTAAAATACTTAAAAATGAAAAAAAAAAATTTTAATTGTGAATCATTTTCTAAAGTAAAATGAGTATAATATTAAACATAAAATTATTAACATAATAAATAAGCTTATAATTAAGTGTTTATATGCTATAATACAGGTTTTTTAATGGGCTATCTTCAAAAATAATAGAGATAAGGGGTGGAACTTTTATATTGGACACCCTGTATTGTTACTACTAAGTTAACAACAATGTACATACTTACATAATCTTATAACTAAAACATTAGAGGGTTGGCTTCAAAGATGCTGTCCAGTAATTTTAATGACAATGGTTACAGGGTCATTTTTTATATTTCCCCCCCCCCCCCTAACTTTTTTTTTTGTGCCAAGGTTTAGAAAAAAAATGTTAGCAGGAAAGTTGTAGCAGTTGAAAAGTAGTTTTTAGAAAAATACTTTTGTTTATACAGGGTGTTGCAAAAACTAAAAAATAAAAATTTGATTTTTTTTAAATGAGACACCCTAGGTAGGTATATATTTTGATCTATATACATATATGTGGATTTTTTTTTATGGTTTCAATCCAAATATACCTGATACCATGATGACATTTGTTTAAGCCGTTATCGCGCAATTTCAATTTAAAGTTACCATAAAATACCCTAAAATTACAAAATAATAATGGTAGTCTTAGCAACTAAGCGGAAAAATCAGGAAAGGTATCAATGGAGACAATAATACAACTTTGAACACAAATAGTGGGAAAATAGCTCAACATATAATAATATGGTATATTTGGAATCAGCAGGAAAAATTATATTTTTGTAGATCAAAATATATAGAGTGTAAAAAAATATAATTTTTGTTTTTGCAACACCTTGTATAAACAAAAATATTTTTTCTAAAAACTACTTTTCAATTGCTAAAACATTTTTTTTAACTGTGAGCACAAAAAGAGTTAGGGGGAAGGGAAAATATAGACAATGACCCTGTACCTGTTACTGTATCTACATACTTAGTTTTTTCTGTCAATTGTTTCCCATTGCCATGGCGCAAAAACTGCCCCTGGTCCATTAAGATAATTTTTTAAATGATTTCTTATAGCAAGAGCTGAAAATTGAGCATTTCTTGCGCCAAGTCTAATGGGAATCTGAACAAGAGCAGCACCTTCCTTGGGAACCTCATTCCTCCATCTGTCAGGTATAAAATGACCCTCGACATCCCTATCTATATCACCATCGGAAAAATATAATTTATTTTTTTCTTTTCTGATAAAATTATGTAAACAGACTGCAGCTTTGACAATCCCGTCTACCGTTTCAGGATTTCCATTAATAACCCTATGAAAAATTCTGAAACGGGCCACCATAATACCAAGAGAATTTTCAATTATTCTCCTAGCTCGAGAGAGTCTATAATTGAAAATTCGTTCTTCGCGGGGAACTAGGCCCTCCCTTGATTTACTAAATGGCCGCATTAGGTTTTCTTTCAAGGGAAAAGCCTCATCCCCAACAAAAAAATGTGGAATTTCAATATTTGTTTGGCAATATGGCAATTCTTGTGGTGGTGGTATATTAAGTTCTTTTGAAAATAATTTTTTGCCAAATGATGAATTATTTAATACACCACCATCACTCTGAGACCCATAAGCCCCTATATCCACATACGTAAAATTGTATTGGGCATCACACACTGCTAACAAGATTATACTGAAAGATTTTTTGTAATTAAAATATAAAGAACCAGTATTGCATGGTGCCTGCATTATGACATGTTTGCCATCAATGGCTTCTATGCAGTTTGGCAACGACCATAGTTGCAAGAAATCTTTGGATATAGTCTTTAACTCCTCCTCTTCTAAAACTGGCAAAAGTAGAGGTTGCCGTTGATTCCAAATGACACTACATGTATCCCTAATCACTTCACATATTGTTGACACACCAACTCTAAATGAATAGGAAAGGCTTGGATAGCTATCACCAGTGGCCAAAAATCTCAATGTAATAGCTAATCTAAAAGAAGAAGAAGGAATAATTATTAATGTAAAATTTTGTATTTTTATACACGTAAATATGTATTATAAATTATAATATAAAAACTAAAATATGTAAAAAGATCTATTTAATTTTAAATATAAGAGCTTTTACAATTATTACAGTTTGTTAAACACTTATTAATCCTTACCTGCACCCTGGAGATATGGGTTCTCTCTTGGATCTCCTCTTAATATGTGGGCCTATTATCCCTAAAAGTTTATCAAAGCTAGAAGCCGACATCCTAGTAAAATTGAAAAATATTATGGGATCGCTTAAGCGGGCTTCTTGTGAAAGATTTTCGTAGCACCCAAATCTTTTTCTCGCCATTAATATGGGTCGCACGCCCCATTTTTTGGGTTTTGGTAAACCCCTTCTTCGATCAGGCGAATTATTGAGCTGCAACAGTAATTGACGTTTTTTTAGCAGCAAAACCACAAGTCCGATTAAAATAGGAATAGCGTCCTCTTCACTCATTTTTCTTTCAATTCACGTTATATTTCACAGAAAAATCGCTTCGAACAACACAAAACACATCACAACAAACAAAATAATTAAAATTCAAATGTCAAAGTTGTCATAATTGTCAAACGAAAATCGCGTGCCGAAGTGGAAGTTTGCAGCTTGCAAGCTTTCAATCCCACTTCAACTTGCACTCTGGCGTCGAATTTTGTTGTGAATGATTACATTGAAATACATATGACAAGCTTGCGTGCCAAAGTGCCACTCGGCCAGCGAATTGATTGCGAATGTAGCTTAATTTAGGCTTTAAAAAAGGCATGGACTTTTCGCAATTTTTACCTCACTCCATCTTGAGAATGGGGATTGCCCAGAAGAATACACAATCAATCAATGCAAGATAATAAAAAAAAGCGCATAAATATTATCTTTTTTCTAGTTTTATTTAAAGTGAACAATAAAAGAATAACACAAAAAAAAATAATAATTTTCTAAAAAAACCTAAAAATCTAATTCGCAAGTTTTTTATGAATCAAAAATAAAATACTTAAAGCTTCGGACACTTGTTACTTTATAATTGGTAAAAAAACAGGAACAGATTAAAAAATCAAGCTAACCAGAAAATAAATTGTACCTAATACTACATCACATGACAAGAACTGAAAAAAAATATATATATTATAACTCTCCTAGTACCTAATAAAAACGTAAAACTTAATTTTTTATTTCGAATACTAAAACTCTCGTATTCGTGCTTTGGCATTGGCAAAATTATTCACTAATTCTGCGATATCCATTTCTTCTGCTCGTGCAGATTCAATTGACAACAAAGAAAGTTGACTCAGTCTATTTTGGCTCATTGTTGACCTTAAGGCCGCGTTAATGGCCGCCATGTTTAAACTGTGATTGGTTGATTTTTCGAAACTTGCTTTAAGGTCTTTAAAAAAACGGCACATCAGAATTGGCTCAAATTTGGCATAAACATTATTTGATCGATTATCTACAATTCCTTATTTTCGTTTTTCGATATTCAGCCTTTTTTTTTTAAATTCAAAAATCATATTCGCAACCACCAAAACAATTAAATGTGTTGGTGGTTGCATATTTGCATGTTTATCAAGCTTGGATCTGTGAAAAGCATATTTTATTGATAACCACGAAAAACTAAAAAAAGCTAATTGTAGAGATTGTAGATAATATATCAAATAATGTTTATGCCAAAGGATTTTCGAAATTATTGCGGATTTTTTGAGATGACTTTAAAATGAATTTTGAAGGTGAAAACAGTTCAAGTAATTTCGAAAAGATGGCGCCACGGCAAAAAAGCTACATTGGGAGCATCATAATTAGGCATTCCAACGACCTGTCAAAAAGTGCGTTGTGGCAGAAGTTCATTATCCCGTATATGAGAGTATGTAATTTAAAGCTTTTTAAAACGCATTTTGTGGTTGTTTTGTGAATGAACTCTGTTTATTTTTTTATTTCATTGACTTCACTAGTGTATCTTCCGATTAAAAATGCCACAAACGGGTCTTGAAGTTGATTGTGGAAGTAGTTTCAACAAGGTAACAAGGATGATGTCAGGCTTTTTTCATTGCCCTTTGTTTTAAAATTTTCCAATTAAAACGTGAAAATTTTTCACTACCACTGTTCCTGCATCTGAAATAAAGAAATTTTCGAAATATTCGTAAGAATCTAAGCTTTTCTAGGCCTTCATTTGCTCATTAATGTGAACTGTGGATCAAAATGTCATCTGGACATTTTTTTAAACTAACCGTTCGCCCAGATCCCGATTTTCCTGCATTCAAGTCTTTAAATATTCACTCTGCATCTCAAAAAGTATATTATAACAAAGTAAACTGTAATTAGCTTGAAAATATTCCAAATAAACTCAAGATAAACAAACAAACGTCAAATTTTCCACGGTCGCCATATTGAAAAATCACGTGGTTTGGAGAGCCTAATTGTATATTTGTCTTTCTCTGTCACTAAGTGTTTCACCGACAAACAGATTTTGTTTTGGACAAATAATAAAATATTGAACCCTATGTGTAGAGTGACGCAGTTGTCATTTTCAAAAACTAAATTCAAACATGGCG